GGGATATTTATAGTTTTTCAAAGGGGGGTTAATTGTTTTTAAAGAAAACCCAAAAATGGGCTAAAAATGCAATTAAGCCGTCGGGCAACGGCCATAATGTGAAATGGACCGTTGCCAACGGTCAGAATCTGAGCCCGTATTTTAAAAAAAAAAAAAAAAAATTGTTACCTTTAAACCGGTCTGGTAACCGGATGAACAGTGTTGTTCGTTGACCGGATTTGACCGGTCCGGTTAACCGGTGGTCAAAATGTGAATGGACCAAACCCCCTACACCTTTAACCCAGCCCATTCTACCGGTCCGGGCCGGTTCCGATTTTAACCGATCTGGGTCCGGAACCAGGCTGACCCGGCCCGTTTAACACCCTTAGTATAAAGGGATAAGGAAATAACTGATATTCCTTATTCAATTTCTAATATATATATAAAGGGATACTAATTTAAGACTTATTTGTATATAATTGGTAAATTGTATATGATCATGTATAAATTGAAACTTGAGTAGGGAGGGTAATAAGATTTCAAATAGTGTATAGGAAGGTAAAAATCCCATAAAATAGTATGTTGACGACAAATAATGATAATAAAAAATACTCCCTTTGTTTACTTTTACTTGTTTACTTTGGACTTTTTACGCCATTTAAGAAATAATAATTATAATAAATATTTTACCATATAACCTCTAATAATGATAGCATTTCAAAAAGTCATGGAAAATAATTTTAGAAATGAGTAATTAATAATAAGGGTAAAATAAGAAAAAAAATTATCTTTCTCTTGATTTGCTAAAATGAACAAGTAAAAGTGGAAACGTATTTTTAATATAGTTTAAACGGAGGGAGTAATAAAGATAAAACAATCCAACAAAAACAGAAAGGGATGATTCGAAAAGGAAATCAAAGCTCCTAGAAATTGCTATTTTAGTTGTTCTTATTTGGTTATTCTTCTTGAAGTACAAAAAATAAAAGAAATTAGGAAAAAGAGGAAATAATGCAAGGACAGGTTTTACGTCTTCCCCAATTGGAAGGATGGTTGAATAATAATACAAAGAAGCTGTGCCGTCACCGTTTCATATACAGCGCGGCCGCTTCTCAAAATCACAAATCAAAACTGACACACAATAATTAATCTAGTCCACAAATTCAAGGTCAGGTTGGTCCCCTGCACTATTTTGCTGCTAATTTCGTATCCAATGACGCACTATATTGAAAAACTCATTTTATACTTTCAACGTCGTTTGGTTGGAAAACAAATTATTCCATGATTAATTATTTGGAATTAGTTATTTTATTTTTTTATGATGATAAAAAACCACTACAATTCCGGAATACTTATCACAATCAAACGTAAGATAAATTCATTTCAAATTACATCTTGAGATTAATTATCCCTTATCCCTCATACCAAACGAGTACCCTTCTATCATTTTAAGCCTTAGGATTCGAATTCTGAAAATAAACTCATCAAAGAGAGCATTTTATTCTTATAAATAAAATTTCTACGCGAATCCGAATTAGTCGAGTCCAAAACAAATACCATAGGTGAAAAAACTACTCATGAGACGCTAGGGCCTGGGAGATGGCTAACGTGCACTGGTGCTTAATTAAAAGAAGACGAAAACTATCTGCTCTCTGATTGCGTAATAAGCCCCTGAATTACAAAAAAAATAAAAAATAAATTTAGCTGAATCAATAATTGTAGTAGTACAAAAATATCAACGCAAACGACTGGAATTAGATACATTGAACCTGGACATGTTAATCTTGGGTCTATAAGTACTCCTCCAACTAAACGGTTTTCATATCAGCGTAAAACCACAAATCAGTTTCCTGCATTTTCTTCCTTTCTTATAAGCTCAATCACAATCGCTATTTTTGCTTCCACTATTTTCTCAACTAATTCCATTAAAATGTTTTCGACAATTGCTGTGCCTTCTAAACAAACAAAGCCCCATCGCCGTGAGATCTCCGCCGTGCCGGAGAGTGAGATACTCAGGAGAAGAAATGAAGAGTTGGAGAAAGAATTGAAAAAGAGCATTGAGAGAGAAGAGAAAATGAAGCAGGAATTGCAGAAAACATGGGAAAGGCTGAGGGTGGCGGAGGAGGCGGAAGAGCGCCTTTGCTCTCAGCTCGGTGAACTTGAGGCCGAGGCTGTTAATGAGGCTCGAACTTACAGGACACGTGTCATCCATTTGATGGATCAACTCTCTTTGGCCCAAAAACTTCTCGAATCAGCTTCTGTTACCGTTCCCAGTTCCCAATGATTGTAGGGGTAATGGAGTTTGACGCTTCATCTCCATTTTCAAACTAGGTAGAGCACGTACGACTGTAAAATTATGTGTTGGTTTCTTGTTCAATGCAAATGAAAGATAAAAGATTAGACAATCGGATTAATAGAGGTGTATATTTACTTCTTCTTCTTTTCTTTCTTTTTTTTTCGTCTTTGTCGTCTTGGAGGTGTAATGAGGGAATTTTTGTTTCGGTTTATCTTCTTCTTCCTCGGGCAAAGATTTCTCCGGTGCATGGTCTGGTATTAGTAACGAGTTTTATGTGAATTTGATTATGAGAATCTTAAAACAGGGTGGATGCAGCTCAAAACCACCGGGTTAGATGAATCCTCTACTTTCGATGCTGATATAAATTTAAGTGTGAAGATTCACTAAAATTACAATAATTAGTAAAAATGAACCCCATAAATTTAAAATATAATAGGTTTTAATAAATTCTAGACTCACCTCTGTCTTAAAAGATAAACAAGTAACATGAAGCTGGCTTGATATAATTTGCATAGACATTTGGAGTTTCTCTGGAGCAGTAATTTTGGTGAATGTAAATTTTGACAGTAAAAAGATTCAACATATGAACTCCTTTTTTTTTTTTTTTTTTACTTTCCGTTTCTCCGTTTTAAAAAACTTAGGCCCGTTTGGCCATAAAAAAAATTCCTCCTTTTCTCAAATTTTTTAAATTTTTTTCGGACTCAGTGTTTGTCATAAAAATTTTAAATTTCATTTAAGTTGAATTTTAGAATCTTTGAAATTTGAAAAAGTTCAAATATTTCAGAATTTTCACTTCAATTATTCACAAAATTTAAAAATAGCTCCAAATTATATTCATGTCCAAACACAACTCTGATTTTCAAAAATTATTTTCACTTGTATTTTCTTTTTCAACACTTTTTTCCATAATTTCACAATTCTTTTGTCCAAATGCCCACTTAGATTAAGGATTTAGTTAACGCATAATATTTATTTGACGGACGTAATTCAACTGTTTTATTTCTTCATCTAAACGTGATTCAACTTGAGCAACTTATTTTTAACTTGTGATATACTCATTGGAACCGGTCTCTTACAGCTTGTTTGGATGGTTGTTAGTATTGTTTTATAATGTATCGTATTGTACTGTATCATTTGATAAATACAATGTTTGGATTGATTGTGTCGTTTGTCATCGTTTCATGATATCATGCACTAGCAATACGAAGAATAAACTTGCAATATTATAAAGAAAAATTATGATGCAGAGAAAATTATTATATAAAAAGATAGGTAAATGATAAAATAACATTATTTAATAATAATGAAGGGTGAGATTGAAAGATAAAGATAAGGTAACAATATGACCACACCAAATCGGTCGTTACATAAAGTGGCACATTTCGTCGTTATGTAACGACTGATTTAACGATATGATACAATAAAATTTAAGTAATAATCAAAACAAATATTGTATTTAAAGTAACAATGCAATACAATACAATTGATAACAACCATCCAAACAAGCTGTTAGGGAAAAGGCCATTACAAAATTTTGGTAATCTTCTCTTTTTACTGAATGAGAATCCTCAAATATTGTCCAACTCCACTGATAATTTTAACCTTGTCATGCTCTTCAGACTTGTGCGATGAATCCGCACAATTAATTAATAAATTAAATAATAAATTCGCATAAGACGAACAATTTTTCTTCTGTTATGACTCTACAATTAATGTGCTAGAAACACTACAAGAAATCTCGGAATTACCGACCAAAAATTTGCGATCAAAGTTGGTTGGTCAAGAAAAACAGCCAATGTTGATCGCTAATGTGGAGAAAATTATTAAATAATTTATCGACCAAGGTTGGTCGTTTTTTGATCGGTAAAGTGGTCAACATGTTGACTGGGCTGGTCAAACTTGCTTGGTCAAAGAAATATTGAAATTAGCGACCAACTTTGATCGCTAATGTGGGACCCATTTATAACGTTTTAATAATTATATTATTATTTAAAATATTTTATAAAATATAAATAAATAATATTTAAAATTGGCGACCAAAGTTGACCGGGTTGTAAGCACGTGATTTTTGACCCTCCCCGGGAATTTTTACGTTCTTAAGCTTAAATATTT